ATTGCCTTGGCAAAGGAATCCAGATATCACAAGAAGACCAAGCACATCAAGAGACGCTTCAATTCTATCCGGGACCAAGTCCAGGTGGGAGACATAGAGATTTGCAAGATACATACAGATCTGAATGTTGCAGACCCATTGACTAAGCCTCTTCCACGAGCAAAACATGATCAGCACCAAGGCTCCATGGGTGTTAGAATCATTACTGTGTAATCTAGATTATTGACTCTAGTGCAAGTGGGAGACTGAAGGAAATATGCCCTAGAGGCAATAATAAAGTTATTATTTATTTCCTTACATCATGATAAATGTTTATTATTCATGCTAGAATTGTATTAACCGGAAACATAATACATGTGTGAATACATAGACAAACTGAGTGTCACTAGTATGCCTCTACTTGACTAGCTCGTTTATCAAAGATGGTTATGTTTCCTAGCCATGGACAGAAGAGTTGTCATTTGATTAATGGGATCAAATCATTAAGAGAATGATGTGATTGACTTGACCCATTCCGCTAGCTTAGCACTTGATCATTTAGTATGTTGCTACTACTTTCTTCACGACTTATACATGTTCCTGTTACTATGAGATTATGCAACTCTTGTTTACCGGAGGAACACTTTGTGTGCCACCAAACGTCACAACGTAACTGGGTGATTATAAAGGTGCTCTACAGGTGTCTCCGAAGGTACTTGTTGGGTTGGCGATTTTCGAGATTAGGATTTGTCACTCCGATTGTCGGAGAGGTATCTCTGGGCCCTCTCGGTAATACACATCACTATAAGCCTTGCAAGCAATGTGACTAATGAGTTAGTTGCGAGATGATGTATTACATAACGAGTAAAGAGACTTGACGGTAACGGGATTGAACTAGGTATTGAGATACCGACGATCGAATCTCGGGCGAGTAACATACCGATGACAAAGGGAACAACGTATGTTGTTATGCGGTTTGACCGATAAAGATCTTCGTAGAATATGTAGGAGCCAATATGAGCATCCAGGTTCCGCTATTGGTTATTGACCGGAAACGTGTTTCGGTCATGTCTACATTGTTCTCGAACCCGTAGGGTCCGCACGCTTAAAGTTAGATGACAGTTATATTATGAGTTTATATGTTTTGATGTACCTAAGGTAGTTCGGAGTCCCGGATGTAATCACGGACATAACATGGAGTCTCGAAATGGTCGAGACATGAAGATTGGTATATTGGACGACTATATTCGGACACCGGAATAAGTTTCGAAGGCTATCGGATATATACCAGAGTACCGGGGGGTTAATGGGCCACTTGTGCCCAAAGTGGAAAGAGGAGGGGCGGCCAGGGCAGGCCGCGCACCCCGCCCCCTCTAGTCCGAATTGGACAAGGAGGGGCCCCCCCTTTCCTTCCTCCCCTCTCTCCCTTCCTTCCCCCTCTCCTACTTGGACAAGGAAAGGAGGGAGTCCTACTCCCAGTGGGAGTAGGACTCCCCTTGGTGCGCCCTCCTCCTGGCCGGCCACCCCCTCCCCCTTGAACCTTTATATACGGGGGCAGGGGGGCACCTCTAGACACAACAATTGATCATTGATCTCTTAGCCGTGTGCGGTGCCCCCCTCCACCATAATCCACCTCGATAATATCGTAGCGGTGCTTAGGCGAAGCCCTGCGTCGGTAGAACATCATCATCGTCACCACGCCGTCGTGCTGACGGAACTCTCCCTCGACACTCGGCTGGATCGGAGTTTGAGGGACGTCATCGAGCTGAACGTGTGCAAGAACTCGGAGGTGCCGTGCGTTCGGTGCTTGATCAGTCGGGCCGTGAAGACGTACGACTACATCAACCGCCTTGTGCTAACGCTTCCGCTTTCGGTCTACGAGGGTACGTGGACACACTCTCTCCTCTCGTTGCTATGCATCACCATGATCTTGCGTGTGCGTAGGATTTTTTTTGATATTACTACGTTCTCCATCACTGTTTTCTTAGGAAGCAGGGTTATCGTTCCAAAATTCAGTTGAAATAGCTGAAGCTGTCCAGAGAATAAATCATGGAACAATGGCAACAAATCCCCCTTAATAATATGCCAGCACTTTTTATAGAACTCCGCTGAAAATCCATCCGGGCCAGGAGCCTTATTATTTTTCATCTGCGAGATGGCCTCAAACACCTCTTTCTCAGAAAAAGGAGCAGCCAAAATATCATTCTCAACAACAGTAAGTTGAGGAACATCCTCAATCCTAGACTCGTCCAGAGAAACATAGTTATCCTCTGGAGGCCCAAACAACTGCTTGTAATACTCGGTTATGTATACTTTTAGGTTCTCCTGTCCTAAAATCGTGCCTTCATCTTGTTCAAGCTGAAAGATCCTCTTCTTTCTGTGTTTGCCATTGGCGATCATGTGAAAGAATTGAGTGTTCGCGTCCCCCTGGACAACTCGTCGGACCTTGGCCCGCAGCGCCCACTTTAATTCCTCTTCACGAAGAAGCTCTTTCAATCTCATCTCCGCGTCAAGCTTGGCATGAAGCTCCGAGGCCGGCAGAACCATGGATTCTGCTTTTACATCTAGGGACTGAATAAGGGTAAGGAGACTTTCCTTTTCGACCTTGTAAATCCCACTAAGATGCTTAGCCCACCCACGTAGGAAACTTCTCAAGTGCCTGATCTTATTCTGTCAACGCTCAAGCGCAGTCCTGCATCCTGCATCCTTAGCCCATTCCCTGGCTACGAGATCAAAGAAGCCGTCTCGTTCAAACCAAGCCAGCTCGAACGAAAATGAGTTTTTGTTTCCCAAGTGGGTAGCCTCACCAGAGTCTACAAATAAAGGCGTGTGATCAGAAATACCACGGGAAAGTGCCTGAACTATTACGAAGGGAAACTTCTGTTCCCATTCGACGCTAGCTAGTACTCGATCCAGCTTTTTTTTGCAAAGACAAATCTATTATAAAAATTCACCGGAAGTACAAATCTTCTCAAACATAATAAAAATTACATTGAGATTTCAAGCCCTCAGAATGACCACTGTTACCACCAGAAACGAGCCGCCGATGTGCCGTTGTCGCCACTCCCCTGTTAGAGTTGGCTTGACCTTATCGATGACAGCTGAGAAGTCTTCGTGCACGTGCCCCTGAGGGCCAATGCCCTGGAGCCGCAATCATTGCCGTTGAATCCTTGCATAGATCTGAAACACCTAAGACCAAATCTCGTCACATGACGAGAAACCCTAACCACACCGCCTTAATGAGACGGTCGGAATCTATGCCGAAGCTCCGTCGATTACGTCTAGACGTACGAAGTTGAGGAGGATCAGAGCCTGAAGACAAACTCGAAGAAGTGCCGCCATCCGCCAGAGGGCCGCACCTGCGAGGACTAAAAATCCTAGCTGGAGCTAATGTATCGAGATTCCCCTCCCCACCATCGGCCACCGAAGCGGCAGGCAGAGGGGAGGCCAATCCACGGACTTGCCGGTGTAGTCTAGATGGAAGAGCTTGTCCTAGCGCCTAGAGTTAGGGAAAAAAGAGAGGAAGTCTGAGAATAATTACATTCTTCCGAGTTCATATCAAACAAAGCTAGGGGTTCATCGACCCAATAATAATATTTTTTTATAATAAACATAGATACGCTCTTGCATCATATCATTCGCTTTTTTTTGCTACGTGCTTCAGTTTGACCTTTTAATTTGATCTTCAAAACTTAAGCCTGTTTGGGAGTCACAACGGTCGATGAAAAGGATGAGATACGTGAAGAGAAACTTTAGCGGTTGTTGTGATGTGCTTGAGGTATTTTTCGTCTTCTGCCGTAGCAATGCACGGTCATTGTCTTAGGCCATGCTTGGATCCAAGGGACTATTTTTAGTCTGACTAAAACTAGTCTCTTTTAGAGGCTAAAGTTCCAATCATCCCTGACTAAAGAGAGGCTAGAATTAGTCTTGAGACTAAAAAGTTTTAGTCAGGGGAACCCTACTAAAATGTGGATTAGTCATCTCTCTCCCCATTTAACTCCCCTCCTTTAACACATGCGAGTTCGGGATTGGAGAGTTTGGAGGATAATAAATGCTCATTAACTCATTTTAGTATATTTAGTATTTGTATCCAAGCATGGGTGAGGCTAGCAAGTTTTAGTCCCACTACTTTTAGTCATGGGACTAAAATGTATCCAAGCACCCTCTTATAGTTATCATATATGAGATTTTTTTTGCCACAAGAAATAAAAGGGATCATTCGATTTGTAGGATTCCCGTAGGATTTCTTCCTAGGGGATTCCTCAGCATTTTCTCCGTACTGGCCAAAGATTCTTAGCATTAGGCGTGACCACATGAAAATTTCCGAAGAAGTGGGCCGGAGAGGACACCTCAATCCTTTACATTTTCTATTCCTTTGATTTGAAAATTCTGTGAACCGAATGAGCCATGAGATGGTGTTTGTTTTTCACGAAGGGAAAAAAAAAACTGGACCAAAGTTTGAGGTCTGGAGCAACTGGCAGTCCGCCCCAAGACCCAGAAGAAGACGCATGGTGAGCTGGCGCGGCGGTCTCGCAGATCCCGCCCCGCCTACTGTGGGCCCACCAGGCCAGGTTTTTCCCGCGACGGGACCCACCCGCCCCTCGGAGCCCTCGCTGGGCAGGTTCCACCCAACAACCCCTCCACCGCATCGCACGGCGCCCGGGCCCCGCGCACCCTCGCCCCACGGCCGTCCGCCCCGGCGCACCGTGCACCGGCTCCACCCCGCAGCCGGCCAATGCCAGGTCAATTGCTCGGGCCCACCTGTCACTCTTGCAGACGCTCCTCCCCGGCGGTGCCAGCTCAGCCCGGCCTCGCCGCTCCTTAAAACCCTTCGCCCACCAACCCACTCTCTCTCATCTCACCAGACCGCACCACCCCGCCTCCCTCCTCGTGCCCTCCGCCGCCGCCGCAGCCTCTGCCTCGGCCTCGAGGCCTCCGCCCGCCACCTCCGCGCGGCCAGGGCTCGAGAGGCGACCCCGGTCTGCCCGCCCCCGCTTCCGGAACACCCCGCCCCCGCCGCAATGCAGAGCGCGGCGGCCATCGGGCTCCTCCGGCCATGCGCCGCGCGGCCCATCCTCAAGAGCCCTAGCCCCGGGGCCGCCCGCCTCCCGGCCTCCCGCACGGCCCTCCGCCTCCCCGCCGCCGCGCCCCGCGCGGGCCTCGTGGCGGCGGCGGGGCTCGGCCGCATCGGGCTCGTGCCGGCGTCGCCTGAGCAGGAGAAGAGGAGCGACTGCCTCGTGGCCGCCGCGGCCGCGGGGAAGGCGTCGGCGGGCGAGGAGGCCGGGGAGGAAAGCGGAGCAGCGCTCGCCAAGACGCTCCAGCTCGGCGTCTTCTTCGGGCTCTGGTACCTCTTCAACATCTACTTCAACATCTACAACAAGCAGGTGAGCTGCCACGCCTTTTGCACCAAAAAAAGGTTGCTTTTCTCTTCTATTGCGTCCAAGTATCTTGTAGTCCTTCGTAGTTTAGCGAGCGCGCCTTGTAGTTCGATCTGATCAATTGGCCTGGAAATCGGTTGCTGAGCGCGAATTGACGTGCTGTTTCGCTTGTTTTGGCGCGTTCGTAGTCTAGCAGGGACAGATCTCTCCAAGTAATCCGCATCTCTCCACTTCGGACCATTCCTAGTGACATTGCATGGAAATTCCTCTTTCAGCTCCTTATTTCAGTTATTATTTTTATACGTATGACTGAGTGATCTTCTGGTCAATCGTCCATAGATTCAGTGAAATCTAACTGAACTGAACTTGTCCAGAATACCATTTTGCCTCATATTGTGTGATTTGTTTTTGTGAACGCCATTGATTTACATAAAACCAACCTACGTCAGACCGAAGAACATATTGAACTTGAATCTCACCTTTTCTGATCAAACGTTTGTCCTAAGTGCATAAATTTGTAAGACCGCGTATCAGAACCCAGGATCAGTACAAGCAAATAATTCCTATCGAATCAGGGTGCTTCCTGTCTGCTTATGTGAAGAGAAAGCTGACCTATATGGTTCATCCGTATGGTGAAGTGATCTTTTCTGGAGCTTTTTGATGAATATCTTCAGATTCAGATATGTCTAAGCTCACAATTTTTCGCTGGGTTGTTGAAATACTGTACCATTTTGCCTCTTTGTAATTTTTTTCTCAACATTGTTTGTTTTTATTCCAAAAACTTAGTTTAGTCAATTGAAGATATTGAACCTGTAGCACTTTCCTGAGCTATTAGCTTAAGTGTATAAAATTTGTAACGCCACATGCCAGAGCCTAGGATTACTGTTAGTAATAATTCCAATCAAGTAAGAATTCTTCCTGTCTGCTGCATGTGAGAATAAGCATTTGCTGTCGATTTCACTCAGGGTCTTTCATAATGCCCTGTACTGATGTGATGTGCACTATGGCTTTAATCCTATGGACATATATATTCATTTCTTTGTCCAATATTTGTGCCTCTGTGATTACAGATTTGAGTGGGTACCATGCCCTTCTGTTTTCTGGTAAGTGTGTAAATAGAGAATTCTGCAGCAAACGTTTTGTTAATGATTAAGATACAGAGAGAGTTGACGCAGATGTTGTCGCATTTTGATTTATTTTCCTAAGAAATTTCTAGACGATTGCATCATTTACCTGTGGATAATACAACTTTCTCCGCTGTTTATATTTGACAGGTCCTCAAGGTTTTTCCTTATCCCATAAACATCACAACAGTTCAGTTTGCTGTTGGAACTACGATTTCCTTGTTTATGTGGGCCACGGGTATCCTTAAAAGACCAAAGATTTCCGGTGCACAGGTAATTATCTAGTTTCCTGTGACAAACTTTCAGTACACATATATTGCACCATTAGAAGATGTATTCTAATGGCTCTTATTTCCCAGCTTCTTGCTATCCTCCCTTTGGCTATTGTCCATACCATGGGCAATCTTTTCACCAACATGAGCCTTGGGAAGGTTGCAGTGTCATTTACACATACAATCAAGGCCATGGAGCCTTTCTTCTCAGTTCTACTTTCTGCAATGTTCCTTGGCGAGGTAATGTCTGTTTCTCTGTCCTCTGTTAGATCTTCCATGAAAAATTGCAAATTTGTGTAATCTAAGAAATTTCTTGGTCCTGTTCTGAGTTCTGACACATGAATGGCCATGCAGCTGCCTACTCCTTGGGTTGTTTTGTCTCTTCTTCCTATTGTTGGTGGTGTGGCATTGGCATCTATTTCTGAAGCTTCTTTTAACTGGTAATCAATATCAGCACCTTCATTTGAATGAAAGAACTATATTGTTAGGAAGCTTGATGTGCACATTACAGTTGTGGCATGTCTCTTGAGTTTCATATGTGGTCGCCTAAGGCTGGTCATAGTGGGAGTAACATATCAAGTAATATAACTCATCCCAAGACAATTTTGCTTATGTGGCAAGTAGTTAATGAGGAGAGAGGTGTTTGTGGTAACATAACGCACCCCGAGGCTAAATTAGTCTATATCTAAATAAATGAAGGCTTGCATGACACCACACATATGTTAACATAGACTACTGTGCATGTTACTACTAGTCTAAGTTACTTCCCACTATGACCAGCCTAATGGCTGACGTGTGTATTTATGTGCACGTGTGTGTATTCATTTTTGCATTCATATTGTCCTCCTTAGACTCCAAATCATTTGTTGCTCATAAATTATTGTGTATTATTGGTGATTAATTTGCAATTTAAATGACAACAGGGCTGGATTTTTGAGTGCAATGGCTTCAAATGTGACCTTCCAGTCAAGGAATGTCCTCAGCAAGAAGCTTATGCTGAAGAAAGAGGTAACTAAGTTAGCAATTTACAGTTGTCTTGGATAGTTGTAACTGAATATCAATGTTCAATTCTCTCGAATTATGAATCACCCCATCAATTTACAGTTCTCTTGGAGTATGTACAGCCAACTGTGGTCATCTTTGTGAACTTTTACATTGGACACTTGAAAATTCTATGCACATATTAATATCGAAAAGTATCCTCATAATGTTATTTTAGTTGATATTGTTGAAGTATTACAGTAGAGATAATTTGTAAGTTGTGTTTTGGGGGTGTCTGCAGTTCTTCTCTATTCTTTTTGTGAATGGAGGGGTTTGTAATTGATATGCTACTCTCATATTTGAACATGCATAGCGACTGTATTAAAATCTATGACTAACCTTCATATTTTCCCCAACTCTGACCAGGCATCTCTGGACAACATCAATCTCTTCTCGATTATTACAGTCATGTCATTCTTCCTTCTAGCTCCTGTAACCTTGTTGACCGAAGGTGTTAAGGTCACTCCTACTTATCTGCAGTCTGCTGTGAGTATCCACTGTTTATTTGTCTGCTCAACCTTATAAGCACACTGTCTCGTTTGAATTCTTACTATGTTCTTTCCTGTGCAGGGTCTGAACTTACAACAAGTGTACACAAGGTCTTTGATTGCCGCATTCTGTTTCCATGCATACCAACAGGTCAGCCATCTATCCAGTTTTCTGTTGTGTGATGGTTCGTTTTGTTAGAATCTTTGGATGTCTTTGTTACTTTGATCAATAAATTTGTTTCTGGTTTTGAATAGTTTGAAACTTATGCCAAGTCATGTATCAGTATATGCATATGTGTAGCACATGCCCAGCACATGCGTTCAGAAGCCTAGGCACTTCTGTACTTACTCGAAATATTCTTACTTGTCTTCTGATTTATCGCAGGTGTCATACATGATCCTCGCAAGGGTGTCACCAGTTACCCATTCGGTAGGTAACTGCGTCAAGCGTGTGGTGGTCATTGTTACATCTGTTCTGTTCTTCAAGACTCCTGTGTCTCCAATCAACTCTATCGGTAAGCACCTGTTTTTCATGTGCGTTCTATCGATCGTATCACATCCTCTTTACATATTTGAAATGTCTTGTCTGTAGGAACCGCGATCGCTCTTGCGGGAGTTTTCCTGTACTCACAACTGAAGAGACTTCAGCCCAAGCCCAAGGCTGCTTGATTGCATTCTGTTCGTCAGGATCAATAGAGCGTTGCCACTCTTGGAATCGGTGCTTTAGTTTAGCCGGACATATTGGGAAGCCTTGTTGAGTAACTAGTACCGTGCAGGATCATTTGTAATTCAGTAATGAGCATTTTGACCAGGAAAGTTTTGAAATCTCTTTCACCGTTCTCTACTTGGACGTTCTAGTTGCCACTTTAATAAAACCTCCGCAGTTTGATTGTGCCGTGATGAAGTCACCGATGAGCAACATCTGTAAGGGTTCATTTCTGTCCCTTTTAGCCATTTTCATAGATAATTCAGAAAGCTTTAGTTGCTAACACTACATGAAGTTCATGAACAAGATATTGCAACTTACATTGTATTTAACCGGACAGTACTACATTCATGTGTGCCCTGATGCCCTCCATGTCTGGTGTCAGGGCATCGTGCATGGTTGTGAACTTGCATTGCTGTAACCTTGTTTCTAACAAACAGTGCTGACTTTTTATGAAATGAACACTACCAAGCCTTTTCCTACGTGCATTTGTTCTTGCTGACATGCTTGATTTTGAACTTTCGTATTAATATCTCTACTACGTAAATAGTATTGATATCTTTATATACTACTTAAATAAACGTAAGGTTCCCATTTTACCTTTTTTCTCACCACCCCTATATATCATAATCAATCACCTTAATTTACATACCTTCTGAACCGATTCCATTTTACTTACCAAACTTCTAATCAAAATATAAGGTAATTCACGGTTAGAATTTGATGAACATTTATTTACACAATCACATTATTAGGTAAATCACAAACTAACATACTAGAAAATTTATATCCCGTGCTTACTAGAAAATTTATATCCTGTTGCAACGCATGGGCGACTAAATTCTACAGACCCATTTTATGAATTTGTACTCTTATTTTAGAGTATTTTGTGTCATGTGCGGAGCTAACGACCCGCACACTCAAACCTTCCCGAGTTACGCGAGTTGGGACTTGTGTTTTTGGCTGTGAGTTTTTTTTATAAATAGTTTGGATTGCTCATCATACATGTCACATCATAACTGATGCTGGTTTGAGTACCTATATTATGTTAGTCTTATGAACCATTGCAACTATATTCAGCACATGATGTTCCATTGAGGGCGGTCGAAATCTTGGACCGAGGAGGTGAAGATAGTGTGCGGAAGAGGAAGAAAAACTAGAAAAAACATATGTTAACATGATTAGTGTTGAACCACCAGAATTTCTATCCCCGGTTGCAACCCACGGGCTATTGCCTACGTTTTGTCTTGGAACATGCTGAGAGACCTCAGCAGAATCATCTGTACCGGTACTCTTTACATCAGACTCAGGCTTCCTCTTTAATCCTGAGTGTCATCTATTCACACGCACACGCACACGCACATGCATACAGAGACTATTTAAATGGTTATATATGTTTAAATTCAAAGTGATGAGAGAGAAAGAGAGATTGATCTAATTATTACCCCTAAGTATATAATGTTTTGTCAGTAGTACCTCAAATTTGATGTGAATGTTTGGATTATTATTGTTGGGCCTAAACTACATCAAAGACTTAAACAAGGGATGTTGCCTCTTTCACCTGATTGTTGTGCTTTCTTAACTCTCTATCGTGAGTAAATCATAGTTGCATCTTATGTTCTGTTTAGGCATGTACGTATGTGCTTCCTTACGTTTCCATTTCCTATAAGTTGTCATCATTTTGTTGCTTATGTTTAAGTCTGGATTTTTTTCTTCAACCCACAGGCCCAGTTGAGTGTGAGCAAGAACACAACAGGTGCAAAGGTTTCCCTTCGATTTTCAACTCCCAACCTCTCTAATGTTTCCACGGGGCATGTTCAACAAAATGCTAAGAGAATAAAACAACTACCGCCTTCAGTGAATACCCTTGAGAAATTGAGATGTTGTGTTTTGAATGATTCCTCTAACTGTGGTAGAAATGTATTAAGAATACATGGAAGTGTAAATGCATGTCATGGTCATGCTATGGGAGGAGAAATCGGGCAAATATCCTATATGAGCTTTATCTTGTACGTTTTTTTTGTTTTTTCTGCGCTCTTGATAGTGGGTTGTGGTTGTTTCATAAATGGGTCCAGTTTGGCTATTTCCGATCTTATGAAGATATTTTGCATCATATAGATTAGTTATCAAAACTTTTAGTAAATTATGCCTGATATTTATCGCAGTGTTTATTTATCCTTAAAGTGACATGCAAGTACAAGGATAAATTGGGTTTTGAACGTCCTTTTTTTGGTCAATTGACATTTAAATTTTGCACTTCTCATATATTAGAATTGCAACAATAAGCTTAAATCGCCATGTGAGGCTCACGCAAAGTGGTTCATTGGGCGTGCGCTTTAAACACCCGATGTGTTTATTACACTCTCTCCGTCCCAAAATTCTTGTCTTAGATTTGCCTAAATACGGATGTATCTAATACTAAAACGTGACTTGATACATCCGTATTTAGACAAATCTAAGACAAGAATTTTGGGACGGAGGGAGAATTTTCTTGATTGTTGTACCCATGCAAATTTCGGCTAGTTTTTTGTTTATTATCTTGTAGATGGTTTTAGGACATCAGATCAACCTTCTTGGTTCAGGGGCATCACTGGCGGCGCACATCTTCTTGATGGCGGTGG